GAGCAAACCACCGACCACTTGCTGCAATGCAACCTGAGCCCTGCCACATGCACAAGGGTGGACCTTCTTGCGGCAACACCAGAGGCACTCCAAGTGGCCAGCTACTGGTCAAGGACATCTAATCAACTACCAAGCTTGCAAATTTTGTGTTTTGTCTGTTAGAAATGTAATACAATTGTCTGGCTGCCCCTGACACGATAAATAAACAAACCACAACATGAGGGATTGCAGCATTAGGAAGGTGGAGAAACACTGATATAGAGTTTATTACATCCTTCTTGGCAAAAATATACATTCAAAAAAGTGGTTTTGCAGAGTAGAGGAAAAGTCTTTGCACCCACTTCCCCATCTCCCAGAATATAATTATAAACTAGCCGTCCCCTGCCAGGCGTTGCTGTGGCCCAGTCTGTTGATCTGGAAAATAAAGTAACGAGAAAGTGTTGGTTTCTAATATATGTAATTTCTTTCTGCTTGTGGGTAAACAGTATTTCTTGCTGTTTCTTTGCCAGTGTTGATGTGGAGAGTGTCTGGTTTGCCTACTATGGAACATGCAACGTATCATTGTCCTTCTTTAGGGATCCCTTTCAAAAACTATATCTGTGAGTGTGTGAATCATATCTATCATCTATCTATCTATCTATCTATCTATCTATCTATCTATCTATCTATCTATCTATCTATCTATTAGGCCTGGGTAACAACGGAAAAATTTGTTTCTAAAATCGATTCGTTTTTTGGGGTTTTTTGCGTTTTGATATTTAAAAGAATTCTGAATTTTTTTTAAAAAAAAGTTTGATATTTACGAAATTTCGTAAATGGTAAAAAAATTACAAAACAATAACGAAACAATAACAAATCGATTCATTAATGGCGGATGCGATTGCGCAATATGATAAAAAACCTCCAAATGGGACAGGGGGAACTTCTGAAGCTTCCCTCTCCCTCTGTTGTTGACTGTTGGTGTGATATTATATTTTTTTTTCACTAATTAAACAAAAAACAACTATAAAACTTGCCCCAGACATGCGGAAATAATAACGAAACGACCTCAAACCAATAACGAAACGAATACATAACGAAATACGAAGCATTTACGAAACGAATTTTTCAATTCGTTTCGTTTTTAAGTTGCTCCAGAATGGTTCGTTATCGCTTCGTTAACAAAAAAATAACGAATTTTTAACGAATTACGAATTAATGAAACGAAACCGCCCAGCCCTACTATCTATCTATCATCTATCTATATCTTTATCTATCTATGGCAGGATGGCTCTTTGTCAGGACGACTCTGATTACGTTTTCTTGCCCTGATGAAGGGAGTTGGATTGGATGGCTTTAAGTATTTTCTGTTGGTCATGTGTGGGAAGTCTGCCCCGATTCCGTCATTCGTGGGGTTCAGAATGCTCTTTGATTGTAGTTGAACTATGAATCCCAGTGACTACAACTCCCAAATGTCAAAGTCCCCCAAACTCCATCTGTGCTCATATTTGGGCATATTGAGTGCTTGTGCCAAGTTTGGTCAAGATCCATAATTCTTTGAGTCCACAGTGCTCTCTGGATGTAGGTGAACTACAACTCGCAAACTCAAGGTCAATGCTCACCAAACACTTCCAGTATTTACTGTTGGTCATGGGAGTTCTGTGTGCCAAGTTTGGTTCAATTTCATCGTTGATGATTGTAGGTGAACTATAAATCCCAGCAACTACAACTCCCAAATGACAAAATCCTAATTTTTGAGTGATGGTCACTGCTTATGTTGTGAGACATTTTGTTGCCAAATTTGGTGTGATTTCGTTCATTGGTTCGTTTGTTTTTAAGGTACTTATTATGCACAGAGCATTTTTCTATAGATAGATAGGGGGACAGAGGCCAAATAAAAACTGCAGCCCTAAGTCGTTGTGAGAAGGACCAACTTGGATGGCTTTAAGGTTCATTAGGCCACTTCAAAGCGGGTCAGGCTATCCATGGCTACTTAACGGGCTGGTTATAAATAGTCCCCGGGTATCAGACTCTCTCTCAAGATTAGTCGCTGGGAAATGTTTTGCTAATTGCCTTCAAGCTGGCATTGACTTAGGGTGACCCTACGGATGAGAGAGCGCCAAGAAAACCTTGTATTGGGGTCCGTGTTGGACTTCAGGTGCATAATCACAGTTATGGAAGTAGCAACGGAAATAATGTGATGGTTGGGGGTCACCACAACAAAAGGAACTGCATTAAGGGGTCACGGCATTAGGAAGATTGAGAAACACTGGCCACGGTGGTCCACGCTCTTGTCACATCCCGGTTGGATTACTGCAACGCACTCTACGTAGGGCTGCCTTTGAAGACTGCTCGGAAACTTCAACTAGTCCAGCGAGAAGCAGCCAGGTTGTTCACCGGAGCGGCGTACAGGGAGCATACCACCCCCCTGTTGCGTCAGCTCCACTGGCTGCCGATCCAGTTCCGAGCACAATTCAAAGTGCTGGTTTTGACCTATAAAACCCTATACGGTTCCGGCCCAGTGTATTTGTCTGAACGGATCTCCCTCTACATCCCACCTTGAAGTTTAAGATCTTCTGGGGAGGCCCTGCTCTCGACCCCACCACTCTCACAAGTGAGGTTGGCGGGGACGAGGAGCAGGGCCTTCTCGGTGGTGGCCCCCCACCTGTGGAACTCACTCCCCGGGGAGATTAGATCGGCGACTTCCCTTCTGGCATTCAGGAAAAAACTGAAGACCTGGGTTTGGGACCAAGCCTTTGGACCCACTGGCAACTAAATTAAGGATCTGACGATAGACAAGGACAAATGGAATGAAATGGATCTATGGACTCTGAACCTGAGCATGAGACTGTTTTAAATTTATTATGTATTGATGTTTTAATTTTAACTGCTGAATTGCTTTTTTGTACTTTGTATTGCTGTCAATTGATTTAGGCATCTAATTGTGCCTCCTCTGTAAGCCGCCCTGAGTCCCCCCCCCCCCCCCGGGGTGAGAAGGGCGGGGTATAAGTAGATGAAATAAATAAATAAATAATAAAATAGAATGACTGCAGTTGGACACCACTTTGAATGCTACGAAACCAAGGGAGCGACGGTTTTACAAAAGCCGTGAGCGCTCAGTTTTGGATCACAAGGATGAAGAAGCAAGTGACACCCGACCGTCTGTTTTGGAAAGAAAATAAGCCTTGCTTGTTGCCTGGACCTGTCTCCTAGGACAGTGACTTCCCACTCAGCCAGACTATCGATTGGTCAAACCCAGCCTTGTTTACTTTGGTCGGCAGCAGCTCTTGCAGAATATTTGCCAGCCCCTCTTGCCCGGTTTGTAAAAATTGGGATCCAGCCAGAGAGCGGACACCTGCCAAACATGTGCTCCGTTCTTGATCCGTCTCAGCCCTGACTCAAAATAACACCGCAAGGAGGAACTGACCTGACCTTACCCTGCGCAAAGGAGAGGCGTAGGAAGTCCTTGAGAGGGGAAGTATGACTGTTGGAGGACCAGAAGTCGTCTCTCTATCTATCGATCTATTCATTGATCTATCGATCTATCTATCTACTGATCTATCCATCGATCTATGTATTGATCTATCTAGCTAGCTAGTTAGCGAGCATCTCCCAGAAAGAAAGATTCCAGGCTTGCCCATTCTCTGCTGTGTTCTCCGTCTGCTTTATTAGTTTCTAGAAATAGAAATAGTAAACCAAAAGCGGCCCTCTGCTTCCTTCCCTCTTCCCTCCATCTCTTCTTCCTTCCATCCCTTTTATCTTTCCTTCTTTCTCTCTTTATCCTTCCCTTTCTTCCTTCCTTCTCATCCCTTCCTTCCTTCCCTTTTGTCTTTCCTTCTCTCTTTATCCTTCCCTTTCTTCCTTCTCATCCCTTTCATCCTTCCTTCCTTCTCATTCCCTTTCTTCCTTCTCATCCCTTTCATCCTTCCTTCCTTCCCTTTTGTCTTTCCTTCCTTCTCTCTTTATCCTTCCCTTTCTTCCTTCACATCCCTTTCATCCTTTCTTCTTTCCCTTTTGTCTTTCCTTCCTTCTCTCTTTATCCTTCCCTTTCTTCCTTCTCATCCCCTTCATCCTTCCTTCCTTCTCTTTTTATCATTCCCTTTCTTCCTTCTCGTCCCTTTCATCCTTCCTTCCTTCCCTTTTGTCTTTCCTTCCTTCTCTCTTTATCCTTCCCTTTCTTCCTTCACATCCCTTTCATCCTTTCTTCTTTCCCTTTTGTCTTTCCTTCCTTCTCTCTTTATCCTTCCCTTTCTTCCTTCTCATCCCCCTCATCCTTCCTTCCTTCTCTTTTTATCATTCCCTTTCTTCCTTCTCATCCCTTTCATCCTTCCTTCCTTCCCTTTTGTCTTTCCTTCCTTCTCTCTTTATCCTTCCCTTTCTTCCTTCTCATCCCCTTCATCCTTCCTTCCTTCTCTTTTTATCATTCCCTTTCTTCCTTCTCGTCCCTTTCATCCTTCCTTCCTTCCCTTTTGTCTTTCCTTCCTTCTCTCTTTATCCTTCCCTTTCTTCCTTCTCATCCCCTTCATCCTTCCTTCCTTCTCTCTTTATCCTTCCCTTTCTTCCTTCACATCCCTTTCATCCTTTCTTCTTTCCCTTTTGTCTTTCCTTCCTTCTCTCTTTATCCTTCCCTTTCTTCCTTCTCATCCCCTTCATCCTTCCTTCCTTCTCTTTTTATCATTCCCTTTCTTCCTTCTCGTCCCTTTCATCCTTCCTTTCATCCGTCTTTCCTTCCTTCTCTCTTTATCCTTCCCTTTCTTCCTTCTCATCCCCCTCATCCTTCCTTCCTTCTCTTTTTATCATTCCCTTTCTTCCTTCTCATCCCCTTCATCCTTCCTTCCTTCCCTTTTGCCTTTCCTTCCTTCCCTCTTTCTCCGTCTAGATTCCCTCCCTCCCTTTTGTCCTTCCTTCTCCTTTTCCTTCCTCCTTTCCATCCTTCCTTTCCTTCCACCTTCCCTCCCTCCCTCCCTCCCTCCCATCCATCCATCACTGGACAGCCAGTCCTCCTCGAAGGAAGTGCCAGCATGGGCCCCCCAAGTTAGAAAGTCTTCCCAGGCCTGATCTACACTGTGGAATGAATCCTGTTTAACACTGCTTGAACAGCAACGGTCCAATGGACTTCTGGAAGCTGTAGTTTTATGAGGTCTTTGGCCTTCTCAACCAGAACGTTGGGGTCTCACCAACTCCAAGGTGCATAATATCCTAGTGTTAAAATGGGGCAGAATTATAGTGTAGAGATACCCAAGGTCTCCTTGATGCTTCTAAGAAGTCCAAGACACATGGCAGCCAAACTATTGATTCTGAGAAGGTCGAGAGGTTCTGGCCCTATCGCCATGCACGGTCTGCGGTGCCGTGGACACAAAGAGAGTCCTGGCCAGGGTGTCCCAAAGGGCAATGCCTTGGAGTGGAGAGCAGGACCCCCAGAGAAGGGGCTTGCTCCAAAGCCTCCCCTACCAGTACGCGGGGTCGTCTGACCGCCGCCAGGTCTGCAAGCGAGAGAGAACCAGAGCGGCGGCCCGAGAGGAGCTGGTCAGGGGCTGGCCGCTCTTGGCCAGGCGTGAAAGGGCGCCGGGCAACGGAGGGCCCAACGCTTGCCGTATCCGGTAGTTCTTCCCATGGTTGTTATCCCAATACACTTTCTCTCCGCTGTGGAAGCAAACGCAGAACTCAATGTTGTGGCAGGGAGCGCATCCTTTGGGAAAGGGCACCTCGAAGGAGAACGTATCTGTGTCGGAGTAGCCATAGGTGTTGGGCATGTACCGGCAAGCGACGTCGCGGGCGCTGCGCCAGGAATCGAAGGTGATGCGGACGAAGACTTTCTTCTCGTAGCTGAGGTTCTTGACCTTGACGGTCCCGGAGATGGACTTCTCCTGGACGAGGCAGTTCTCCAAGCAGACGAAGCCGCTCTGCAGGCGGCTGCGGAAAGCCACGTAATCGGCGGAAGGCTGCGGGAAGTCCGGGAGGTACTTCCTCGCCTCGGGACGCGGCCCTCGCAGCTTCTCCCGGAAGCCGGTCAAGTGTGAGAGGGCTTGCTGGAGGTCACAGAGGTCCTCCTCGATCTTGGAGAAGATCCGGACGGCGGTCAGTGAGAAGCCCTTCATGTCCGCAAAGACCACCCTCTTCTTCTTCTTCCCGCGACAGCCCTTGGCCACCTCCTGCTGCGGCCTCTCGGACTCCGCGGCGGAAAAGGTGGTGGTGTTCAGGCACGGGCGCAAGGACGGGTGTCCCAGGCCTTCCCGGAGCTCTTCGTAGGAGTCGAGGAGCTTGCGAATGGGAGGCGGGTGGCTCAGGGAAAGCCGGGTGGCGGGAGTGGTCCGAGGGGTGATGGCCCGGGTACCAAAGACCTGGAAGAGGCTGAAGGCAGAAGGCGGCAGTGTTAGCAATTGAGCCATTAGGAGAAGGCCCCTAGAAGAGTCCCCCCCCCCCTCCAAAGGACCATCTCATCCAGGTATTTTTTCCTCTCGGGACCCCCGCATGACTCATTTATGGGACAAACATCCAAACTATACACAACTCATAGTTAAGAATGAGGCAGAGAAGGAGGATGGAAATGAAAGGAGGGAGGGAGGGAGGAAAGAATGGAAAGAAAGAAGGGAAGGAGGAAGGAAAAAGAGAAGGAAGGATGAAAGGGAGGGAGGGGATGGAGAGAGGGAGAAAGAGGGAGGGAGAGAAGGAGGAAAGGAAGAAAGAGAGAAGGACAGACAAAAGGAAAGGAAGAAAGGGTGAAAGGGATGAGGAGGAAGGAAGGAAGGGATAAAGGAAAGAGAGAAGGAAGAAAAGACAAAGAGGAAGGAAGGATTAAAGGGATGAGAAAGGAAGGAAGGCAGGCAGGCAAGAATGGAAAGAAGGAAGGGAAGGAGGGAGGAAAAAGAGAAGGATGAAAGGGAGGGAGGGGATGGAGAGACAAAGAGGGAGGGAGAGAAGGAGGAAAGGAAGAAAGAGAGAAGGAAAGACAAAAGGAAAGGAAGGATGAAAGGGATGAGAAGGAAGGAAAGAAAGAGAAGGAAGAAAAGACGAAGAGGAAGGAAGGGAGAAAGAGAAGGAGGAGGGAGGAGAGAAGGAAGGAGATAGGAAGGAAAAATAGAAGGAAGGAGGAAAGGAGGAAGGAGAGAGAGAAAGAGGAGAGAGAAAGAGGAGGAAGGAGAAAGAGAAGGAAAGACAAAAGGAAAGGAAGGATGAAAGGGATGAGAAGGAAGGAAGGAAGGAAGGAAAGAGAAAGAAGAAAAGACAAAAAGGAAGGAGGGATTAAAGGGATGGGAAAGGAGGGAAAGAAAGACAAACAGAAAGGAAGGAAGGCAGGCAGGCAGGCAAGAATGGAAAGAAGGAAGGGAAGGAGGAAGGAAAAAAGAAGGAAGGATGAAAGGGAGAGAGGGTATGGAGAGAGGGAGAAAGAGGGAGGGAGGGAAGGAGGAAGGGAAGAAAGAGAGAAGAAAAGACAAAAGGAAAGGAAGGAAGGATGAAAGGGATGAGAAGGAAGGAAGGGATAAAGGAGAGAAGGAAGAAAAGACAAAGGGGAAGGAAGGATTAAAGGGATGAGAAAGGAAGGAAGCGAAGGAAAGGATAGGAAAGACAAACAAACAGGAAGGAAGGGTAGAGGGAGGGAAGGAAAGAAGGAAAGAGAGAAGGAAGGATGGAAAGAGGTAGAGAAGGAAGAAGAGAAAGATGAAGGAATAGAAAAGGAGGAAGGAAGGAAGCAAGGAAGGAAGGAAGGAAAGAGAGAAGGAAAGTAAAAGGAATGAAGGAAGGAAAGAGGGAGCAAGGAAGGAGGGAAAGAAGGAGAGAAGGAAAGACAAACAGAAAAGAGGGAAGAGTGGAAGGCAAGGATGGAAAGAAGGAAGGGAAGGAAAAACAGAAGAAAGGATAAAAGTGAGGGTGGGAAGGGAGGGAGTGATAAAGAAAAGACAGAAGGAAGGAAAGACAAAAGGCAAGGAAGGAAGGAAGGAAAGAAGGAAGGAAGGATAAACAGGAAGGAAGGAAGTGAAAGGAATCGTCTCCTTGGAAGCGAAATCCACTCCCAAAAGCGTTATCATGGGGAAAGGGGTCTCCAATGAAGCTGTCACACCAATCCTTCCACAACAAGCCACATTTTTCAAATTCCAATTCTCTCTGGGACAGAAAATAAGTATAAAAATAAGAATAATTTTATTTGGTTTGCTGTGAGTTTTCCAGGCTGTGTGGCCATGTTCCTGTAGTTGACCTCACAACTTCTGAGGATGCCTGCTATAGATGGAGGCGAAACGTCAGGAGAGAATGCTTCTGGAACATGACCAGGCAGCCCGGAAAACTCACAGCAACCCAGGCATTCTGGCTGTGAAAACTTTCAACAACACAGTATCTCAATTGTTGAACTTTTTTTTTTGCGGGGTGTAAATAATAATAATAATAATAATAATAATAATAATAATAATGGCAGTCCAACCTTTGAAGAGGAAGGCAGAATGGAAGGAAGGAGTTTGAACCCCAGGTTATAGCTCTTCTCAGTAAGATGAAACCTGCAAGGTGCACCTTCTCATGGCTTTGCAAAACTCATAGTTGCAACTATTGCAATTCTTCCTTCTCCATCATTGGTCTCACACCACATTGCTGTTTCTCCTCCCAACCACCCCCAAAGGATCTTCTTTGTCCTCTGACACGGATGTCTCATCCACACGAGCAACTTACTCTCTGCAGCTCATGGCTCCTGCTTGCTTGCAAGCTGCGTCCTCCTCCCAGGGACCCAAAGGATGAATGGAGGCAGGTGAGAAGCCAAGCCACGCCCCTCCCTACCTGGCCACGCCCCTCCAGGGCCAGCCCCACGTGCTTTGCAGGACACAAGGAGCATCTCTACCCTGTCCAGCTAATGCAATGTGGCACAGCTTGGACTTCCATAGGCTCAATGCGAAGGAGTTGCGGTTTGACAAGGTCCCAGGTTACAACTTTCATGATTCCGTAGCATGCTCCATGGCACTAAAAGTGGGGCCAAGTTGCACTCGTTTGAGTGTAGATGATGCACCCCAAGACCCTTCTTTCAAGTCCCTTCTTTCCATCCCATTTTTCCATTTTTGTTGAGTTCCAGGGCCAGAGAAGCAGATGGCGGAAACAGAAGAACAGCCTGCCTCAGGGAGCGTGCTTGCTCCATCCATGTTCAACATCAACACAAATGACCAGCCACTGCCAGAAGGGACAGAGAGTTTCATCTATGCTGATGATCGTGCCATCACCGCTCAAGCAGGGAGCTTTGAGATGGTTGAACAGAAGCACTGCGAAACTCTAGATGACCTTACTGCCTATTACAGGGAAAACCAGCTGACCCCTAATCCATCTAAAACACAGACATGTGCCTTTCACCTCAAGAACAGACAAGCATCCCGAGCTCGGGGGATTATTACCTGGGAAGGAATCCCTTTGGAGCATTGCAGCGCACCCAAATCCCTGGGAGTCACTCTGGA